AGGAGTGGGGGTATAATGACGCAAGATGGGGCTGAGAAGAGGGTGGAATGGCACCTAGAATTTTGGAGAAAAAACTAGAGGTCTTTTGAATAGATTCTCGATGCGATCAAAGGATTGGAAGAGCTTGGAATATTGGAGACTTTTTGAAACTTGGATTTTTTTGAAGTTTCACAAGGTCTAAAGTTTGCATTAGCATGAAACTTGAGCAAAGCGTTCTATTAAACTCTAATTTGGAGTACGAAAGTTCGAATAATTTATCAATAAACTGGTGCAATTTCAAATTATTCGATCAACTTTGAGATAAGTTATCGCTTGTCAAAGTTGCTTCAACTGCGTGCAACAAACGTTCATCTTTGGACAATCATAACAACGCCTAGACTTGAGGAATCGCTTTGAAAATTGTAGCAGCTTCGAATCAGACGTAAAATTATATTTCTACTGAATTTCATCTTCCCAAGGCACTTATGACTAAAGATATACCGGTTTTGTCAGTCCGAGTACTTGTGCGCCACCCTGTGACTATAGCCCCGCCGTCAACTTTCGTGCTGCTTACCTCGATTCCTATTAGAGATAACAAAAATGTGTCGAATGACAAAATATAGGTGATTTTATGATAAATAACTTATAAATTGAACATATCTTGATATCTCTTACAGGAAATGAGATATATGGGCTCAAAGTTGACAATCTGGTACCCTTTCTATTAGAGCATTTACGGTTTATTTTCAGGTCCCATAAATTATTTGACCTTTTGAATGAATTAGGAAATGAGGAGTAGCTTTATTCTTTTTTTGAATTTGGGTTCGCAAAGGTTTTCAATTCTGAAATTTCTGATATCCTTGTAAACGTTGGATCTAGAGTATTTCCTCTAATTTACGCCCACACAAACCATTAACTTTGAGCTCAATTATCCTATTTCCTGTAAAAGATATTAAACTTTTGTCAACTGATAAAATATTTATCATGATATCATTAATATTTTATCAGTTGACAGATGTTTGATATATTTTACAAAAACTGAGATGATTGAGTTCTAAGTTGAGGGTTTTCAATTAGAAAAACACGGTATTTAGATTTGAGGAAACCTGTCCCAAATCAGGTTTTCCAAATGCTCAATCCTCCAAAAAAAACCGTTCTCCCTCTAATTTACAATTTGCTCACGCCCAATTGTCTCCCAATTATTAAGCAAACACAACGCAACGATGCATGTCATAACTGATTCAGAAGAGCATGTGTCATCTTTTCTTAGAGGATGCGCGCGGTAACACTTGCCGCCTTCTGAAATCCGATGCCCCTTCCATCCATCCAATCGAAAAACAGTGGCAACATCCTAATCCAGTGGACACATACTATCTAATAACATTTTATCGTCTTCTTCCCTTTGTCGGCACTTCCGGAGGGGCCATCCCTGGAGATTTGTTTGAGCTTCCCTTTTGTTTTTAAGGACCTATCAAAGTAAACAAGGAACTGTTTCATTGTTTCATTGACACCTCGAGATTCTACTTTACCTATTTTCTTATTGACAGTCTTCTTCTACTTCTATTCCCGAAGTGAGTTCTCTTTGATGCGCACCGCAAAAGAGGACAAAAAGTCCGAAAGTTGTGCAATATCGCGTTTACAGGTCATTTGGCTTCCAAGGACAGTGACCCTATTAGAGTTAGACAAAAAACTTCTAGGTAGGTAATGGGTTATTGTTTTGTTCAGAGAGAGTATTGAGAAGTATAGTTAGCTAACCTTCAATACAATAATTGGTAGATATCTGATCTGTGCTGAGCAATCTTATCCTTCCCATGACCTGTAGAGCATAGTTAAACGGACCTAATTAGGGGGAAGGATTGAATTAATTATGTGTGCATGCATTTTATATTGTATTGGAATGTAAGAAGGAGCTTATTGGAGAATAAAAAGGGTTGGATTCGAGAAGCTGTCAAGAAGAAATCCAGCTAAACACTGTACAGTTATGCGCTGTACAGTGGTTGGCTTGGGTTGGTCCGTCAGGGTTTTATACACCGTCATCCTTGAGCTCAATTATCTCGGTTTCTCTAAAAGATAGGGAAATTTTGATAACTAAAAAAATTTTTTAAAGATTATGATGAATATTTTATCAGTAAGCCACTTTTGAAATTTTTCACAGGAACCGAGATAATTGAGCTCAAATGTGACGGTGTATAAAACCCTGACGGACCAACCCAAGCCAACCACTGTACAGCGCATAATTGTACAGCGTGCAGCGTACAGCGTACAGCGCATAACTCGGTTCATTCACCGCCAACTTTGTGCTCATCTATCTCGGTTTCTGTGAAAGATATAAAAAAGTTGTCAACTGATAAAATGGTGCCGATAATATGATAAACAATTTATCAGTCGGCACATTTTTGATATCACGCAGAAGAACCGAGATAATTAAGCTCAAAGATGACAATTCGAGTGGACCTCTATTAGGGAGAGTACGGTATGTGTCATGATGAGTTTTGGATGAAAATGATAAAAATGGAATATGTAAAAGTTTTCCAAATTTTCTATGCAAGTTTAGTAGAACTTGGGCCTACACAAAGCCTCCACAAAATCCTGAAAATCCGGTATTTTGGAGCTTTGGCTCCCAGCTACTTGAGCTATCTGGCCCAGCTCTACAAGTTCTTTGACGTTATCATCTCACACCTAGCTTACAGTATCAACCTATCCACTTACCTATTGCATAATCCAATTTGACCCACTTGTGTGTCCATATTTGCATAATCAAGAATTCTGACGCAACTCCTCTTCCTCCGAGTCCTTGAGCACCGTGGAGTCGGCATTACATCAAAGTGTTTACAGTTAGTGTCGAGAATCCCCCACTGGATTAACGAAACCCTGTATCGTTTCACACGGCAATTAATTCGGCAATCACTTAAAAGGAGGGATAAGCGTGCCGACAAAACGCGAAGGATTAGGCAACCTAAGTGAAGCCATTCAACAGGTCGGCACATGGAGTATCTTTGAATCATTATTAATGAGGTAGATTGTTGTGGATGGGATGAAGCTTCGAATCTTCCCAAGATGAGCAATTGTGTAGGATTACTGTAGAACCTGTCAATTGCAAACTAAGTCAGTTTCTGGAGTCATCATCTCAAGTGATATGTTGTGTGTACTTCTCACGTACAAGTGCTTATATGGATAGGCAGGTGGGTAAGCAATGAGGGAACTAATTGGATAAATATTTGGATTAAGAAGGAGTGACGATGATGAGGTTGAGGAGGAGATTACGCAGAGATTTACCTCAAAAAGTCAGTTTTTTGTTTGTTGTAGATGCACAGTGTGCCGGACTCAAGTTTGTACTAGCATCCAATTTGAGTGAAGCTTTGTGCTAGGCTCAAATTTGGAATGCGAAAATTAAAATTAACCAGCAGGAAATTGGCCAAGTTTCGAATTATTTGATCAACTTTGAGCTGAGTTATCGCTTGTCAAATTTTCAGCACTCCCTGGAAATCGCAACAGTGTGCAAGAAAATTTTGCCGTTCACCTTTGGACAATCATAACAATACCTAGACTTTAGGTGAAAATTTTAGTATCTTTGAATCAAACGTAATAATTATATTTCTACCAATTTCTGTGCTTACAAGATCCATATGTCTAAAGATATACCCGTTTATACAAGTCCCGGTAGTTTTGAGCCACCCTGAAGCTTCCGAGACACTCCGACGGATTCTAAAGCTTTTCGAAGATTTACGGTTATTGTTTATAAGAATGAGTTTGTTCCAGATGATTTGGGGGTTAGCTTTTGGACGGATATAGGCCAGGTTCTGGTCGGAAATTGCCCGAAAACGGCTCTACAGCGGACCATGGTCAGATTTGGGTCGGACACTGGAAGTGAAATATTACTAATTTGAAATATGGTGATAAGTTTGTTGGAGTTTGGTCAGCTTTAGTTTATCCGGAATCTGACCAACCAAAGGCGCCCGTAGATGTCCTAATTCAGAAGACGTGACACCTGCAGAAACTTCGTCAGCCGAGTTCTCAACCCCGTTGCCTTCTGAAACTTCTGAACGTCTTCTGATTCTTAAATTTTTCCAAAATTCACTTTAATTCTGTTATTAACTTTATCCGACTTGTTATTGGATCAAATCCACTGGGCAATAACCCAACGTCGTTTATTTAGTTTCACTATCTTCAAGGCGACTGCTATCATAACTTTAAGCTAAATTATCTCGATTCCTATGAAAGATGCTAAAAATATGTTAACAGATAAAATTTTGGTGATTTTATAGTAAAAAAAATATCAGCTGGCAAAATTTGTATATCTTTCACAGGAATCGAGATAATTGAGCTCACAGTTGAAGGTTTGGTAAGGGTTCTGTTAGAGGGAATACGGTAATTCGAATCTCCTCTTCTATCTTTTTTTTTTCGAAACCTTTCGACACCATTTCCTCAGTGAGGAATCCTCACCAAAAACACTTGATCTATTTAATTTGATCTATTTAATTTCAACTAAAAACCAGAAATTCGCGCATTTCGTAACCATATTCGTACCAGCTGTTGCGCAAAAACTGCATCATCCTGGTAACACATAAATTAATCATCATCTCCTGATTTACCTATTCCCCTCCTAAAACTCGTTCGTTGACATTTGACAACCTAGTGGGGTGGGCGTGTCATCCGGGAGGATCGAGGGGCGGGGCGAGGGGGGGAGAAGCTGTGCGCCCCCTCTCATTCACACCCAAACGACACGCAACCGTCAACACGTCTCCCAATTTCTCTTCATTTGTCAATTCTCCAAATGATTGTGAGTTTTTTCTTTTTGATCTACCTAGATTTTATTCCTCAAAAATGGGTTACTGTAGAACATGTTTTATTTCATCAGAAAACAAAAACAAAAACAGTTTTCTCTGCGTCTCTCGAAACAGATTTCTCTCGCATGCGAGAAGAGGAGGAGGCGCAGAGAAGAGCAAAACTGTTTTTGTTTTTGTTTCTCTTCTTCTTCTTCTTCTTTTTTTTCAACGTCTTCTAAATATCACGTCTTCTAGATGCTCACATTCGCCTCAACTTCTACTTCTGATCTCTTCTCGATGCCTTCATCCCAATTCGAGTACATCAAACCTTCCTACGACAAGAAGATGTTCAACTTCTCTTCTTCCTCTGATGACGCCGTGACGTCTTCTTCTGATTTCGCTGACGATTCTGGATTTTTTGGTGAGTAATATTTCCTTGTAATGTCTTCAAAATCTTGAAAAACAAGTTCTAAATTTTCTTTTTTCCAGATGACTCCGACGAATCCAGCCACACCATCAGCTCCATCGGTCACGACATCGGCACCAAGCTGGCAGCCATGTGCGATGCTTTCGACGCCGAAATGATGTCCTACTCCAGAAGACGTGACACCTCCAGAAGCTTGCTCAACCGTGTGCTCGACTTCTTCGCCTTCTAATCAATGTCGTCTTCTGATTCTCCCCTGATGTCATATTCTCAAGCAGCTCCGGTGACTTCCCCTGCCACAGTGATTTTTGTTAAATGATCTCTTTTTTCTATTATTATACTTGTTTTCTCCCTTTTTGTACCATGCCTAATTCCCAAATGTACATATTTATTTGAAACTAATAAATATGGTTTTTTTTAAACCAAGGTCTTTTGTTTATGAAAGTTGTAAAGTGTACGGATTGTATACTTTTCCTTTCCGATTTCGATTTCTCCAGATGTTGAAAAAAAAGCAAAAAGACAGAAAACTTTGCAGTGGTTGTTACTCTTCCTAAGCTGCTTTTAGGCAACTCCTTGGTTGTCAACCGCCACTATCCCTCGTCATCGCACTTTTAGCTCAGCCGGTTAGCGCGTTCGCTCCCGTTCTCAGAGTCGCGGGTTCCATTTTCCCCCTGATTAAATTCTTCTTTACTCTTTTTCCGGACTCCTTCCTATTAAAAAGCCATACCGTATCGTTTTTCCCGCATGAATTATTCTCTCTGTGCCCGGACATGCCCCCAGGGACTTCTCGGCACCTCCTTTTCAAAAGAGCCGCCGCGTGTCTGTTTTTCGAGAAGAAGCCGTATACCGGACACATAAAAACAGAGTAATTATATAAGAAAACGGGTGGAGTCGACAGAATGGCTTGTGTTGTCCATGAATTATGGATACAGACAAAGCATACCGATTATGTCATCAATATACACACCGGAGGGGAGAATGGAAAGAGATGAAAGGCAGGGGAAGGGAGAGATTGGAGGGACGGGTTCCGATTTGTTTTTGGAACTTTTTTGTTAAGACGAAAAAAATATAAACGTTCTAAGAATCCATAGAGCTCTATAGAGATAATATCGGATCTTCCAACTGCAGTTCTAAAATAGTACATCAATTTTGGCAATTTCTAAGAACTTGCTCTAATAGAAGCCCACCTAAAACTTTGAGCCGATTTATCTCGATTCCTGTCAGAGATATAAAAAAGGTGTCAACTGATAAATTTTTTATCATAGTATCAGAAGTATTTTATTAATTTTTAATTTTTGATATCTTTCAAAGGAACACAGATAAATTCACTCAAATATACCGTACTCGCTCTAATAGAAGCCCACCCAAACAGTCAACTTTGAGCTCAATTATCGGTTCATATGAGAGATAGCATAAATTGGTTAATTGGTAAATTATTTATCATTAAATCACCAACTTTTTATCAGTTTACTACTTTTTGATATATCTTATGACAACCGAGATAATTGAGCTCAAAGTGAATGTGCCTCTCGGCATCCATTAGAGCAAATACAGTAGTCAACTTCGTAACCCTGAATTGATGTTTTTAATTAATCGACCAATCGGAAACTTTTTTAGAATGATGAACAAAAACAGAGCTTTATTTTTGCAGCTTACAATTTTAAAATAAAAATGCGTTTCCCGTATTACCTCTAAAAGGTGCCCACCGCAACCATCAACTTTGAGATCAATTATGTCGCTTTTTATGCACGATATCAAAAAGTAGTCTGATAAAAAACTTATGATATTATGATAAAAAGTTTATCAGTTGATTACTTTTTGGTAATTTTTACAGGAAATGAGATATCAAGCCGAGGGTTTGAGTGGCCCTATACAAGAGTGTTTACGGTAAGTATTGTCCTTCTGGGGGTGTTAATTGCTTCGAAACTAGGACGTTTCGCTCTGAAAATGTAATTCGCTTTTTAATATATTATTGCATTACCGCGTTTCTTTCCTAGTTTTTCCTGATTACTGTGACCATCACAAATCCATCAAATTGTAACAGGCTGATATCAAATTACCTACTGCAATAAAACCACTGATACCTTCTCCCACCTATCCTTACACCCAGCTGTAAGTAAAAATACACACACATAAAAATATCAAATGTCGTAAATTACAACGGATGTTCTCCACCCCAGGACATCCGATCCGGAGGTCAATTAGGATTGCGCGAGAAACAGGTGCTAATCATTGTAGTAGTAGTACACAACCAATAGAACCAGCTTCTCCTTCCTCAATTCAACTAATTAAGCGGATGATCGGAGTTGAGTAAACATAACAAAACTGAGAACGGGGTTAGGTGACAGCTACGGAAACATTTTGTTGGCACAGGTGGGTTGAGTAACCATAATATTTTGACAATATGTACATAAATAGTGGAAGCGTTGATACTTGGGATATAGAAGTGTAAATGACATCTCGAGGATTTAAGGACCCCCACTTCTTACCTAATATCCATACTCTTGACTTACTACTACACTAATCCCTAATTAATTATTAAAATAATAAGACAACTAATAGGGAGAAGAATAACTAGGAGGAGAAGCCAGTGGATTAGATTTCTCTGCTCTCTCTCCAGTTCATACACTCTCTCCCTCTGCAGGTGGCTTCTTCGTCCAGGATGCACATCGTCTAATTGTGCACTGGTGTGTGTAAGTATTGTCCTTACTTCCTTCCTCCTCTCATAATATTTGTTGAATTGAATGCGCGAAAATGGTTGGGGCACTTCCTAGAAGTTGAATATCCATCCATCTGCCATTGCCACTAATTGTTACACAAAAGATCATCCATTTAGACGGCGTAACGGAGTGAGTGAGCAGAGGTTATGTAAATTTGGAGAATGTTAAAAGCCAAGGGTTCCGACACAGAAGGTGTCACTCCAAATTGAAGAATGAAGTGGAAAGAGAAGACGGATGTGATGAGTAAGATAGATGACAAAAAGAAGAGCGATGTAAATTAGATCATTTAATGTGTTGCACGTGTTGAAGGGTACTGTAGATGTCTTATTGTGCAATGTCGTCAGAGAAGGGCGACGAAAACCAAAAAGAAACGGCCAAAGGTCCCATAGAGACAACTACCGTAATCTTCATTTACTTGTTTTGCACCGGTTTTCGTCGATTTCACTGCTATTTTCCCCCAAACGTTTCGGAAAAACCTCCGTGTATACTCCTACTCTTTGGTTACTGTACAAGCTCCATCAGGACGCTTTTTTGAAAAAGTTGACTGAAAACGCACGAAAATGGAGAAAATAAACCATGAACGTAAAAATTTTTTTAGGTTACGGTCTTTGTCGTTGCAGGACCTTCATCCACGGCCACCGGAGTTTCTCTTCCGCAGCTCCAATTTTGTACTACCATAATAAAGGTTTGCTCACTAAATTGAAAAAAAAAACATAGATATAAAATTGTATTCATTATAAAACCGAATTATCTACGCTTTTCTCCATAAAAGGTGTCGCCAATAACCAATTAAACCTCGCCGCAAATTCCCACGAGTCTCTTGACTTCAAAGCCATTCCTCTCTCTCTTGGTGTGTTTCCGATGCACAGTGTCATCTGTCAACTCCCCCTCATCAACATCATCATAATATTGCAATGACCTTCGTTCTTTCTTTGCTTCGAGTATTCCGTACACATTCCCGAAACAAAAGGCAGATGTGCCAAAAGTAGTTAGTATTACATCCCCGAAAAGTGTTGTTGTTTCATTCACACCATTTTATCAAGAAGACGCGTCGAAACGCTAATTTGTTTCATGATTTATGAGGGAAGAGCCGAAAAGGAAAAGGAAGCGAAAAGTTTTCGCGCATTTTTGGAAACCAAAGAAACACTACTAATTCGTTGATTTATTTGAAATCGTTTCTTGTGCCGTTTTTGCGGCTTCTTTGTGTTCTGAACGATTCAACAAGTTACTTGGAAATTCTAACAGGGGGAGATTTTAGAAAAGGAACGATGGACACCCATTGCAGTCGTTAAAAATCGGTTATGGACCACCCGGTGCGTAATATATCAGGAACAAAGAACGATAAAATATTGTATTTTATTGTCTGGGTGTGATTTTATATGATTTTTCATGTGGAAGAATGTGCACGCATGGAAAAGGGGTTAGACTAACGATGAAGGGACCCTCAATATTTTCACACAGAAAAATATATAGTTTTTTGTTCATTTTTTGTATTTTTTTAAATGATTTCATTGAATTCGAAGGTGCTTGATAAAAAACCAGAAAGAGAGACGCGTGCGGCGGTGTTGCGAAAACCGCGCGCCGCAGTTGCAATAGAAGCTCCGCCTCTAGATTTTCGGCATTTTTTTATTCCAAGTCAATGATTTTCTGCGTTTTTTCGCGTATTCGGTTGTTTTAAATTGCTGAAAATGTTTGTAAAAAACTAAAACTATTTATAAATGTTAATAAAAACAGTTATTATCCGGCTAACTTCTCAATAATGGGTTTTTAGTCAGCGTTTTCGTTTTGTTTGCATTTATCGTTGTAAAACAGCTAAATTCATGAGATAATTCTTTAATTTTTGTAGATTATGGCTGACAAATCAACAGAAGTTGAAAAGGCCATTGATCCAATCATTGACTTGGGCAACTTGCTGTTCATCGATCGCGAACCTCTTCAAGGAGATGCCGAGTAAGTATAAATTCGTCAATTCTTCAAAAAGATTTCTTTTTCAGAGAAGGGCTAGAAGAGCGCGCTAGAAAAAACACACAGCTTCTTTTCAACAACATTTGGCAACTAGAGCAGAAACGAGTAGAGGAAGCGATTATTGTGACTCTACCAGCAGCTACATACCGTCTTCCACGTGAGAAGAAGCTTCCAGAAAAGAAGGAACCAACGAAGTGGGAGAAGTACGCTAAGGAGAAGGGTATTGAAAAGAGAAAGAAGGATAAGAAGGTGTTCGATGAAGCAACGAAGGAATGGAAGCCAACTTACGGATACCGGCGAGGAAATGATAATACCAAGGATTGGTTGATCGAGATTCCAGATAATGCAGAGGATCCAAACAAGGACTTCTTCGCTGAGAGACGCGAGAAGAAGAAGGAAAGAGTCGCCAAGAACGAAATGCAGAGAATGAAGAATCTTGCTCGCCAAATGAAGACGACAGTGAAAACAGGACCATCTACCGACAAAATGATCGGAGTAGGAATTGATGCGAAAGACAAATCGAAGCAAGACGTCCGTTTTGCTGTTGATCGTGCAAAGCTTGCCACCGCTTCAGCTGGAAAGTTCCAAGAAGGATTGAAAGGCGAAAAAGCCAATATTAAAACTGGAAAGAAGAGAAAGTTCGAATCCAATGAAGCTCCAGTTTCGGCTGAGAAGGAGCGTGCTCTTCAGATTCTTCAAAGAATGAAGTCCAAGAAGGCCAAGATCGTTGAAGAGAAGGCTTCAGCCGTTGCTGGACCACTGAGAGAGTGAGTTTTGAGATTTTTTTCCATTGTAATTTGTATTATTATTTGCAGGAAGAAAGAGAAGCAAGAGAAGAAGGGTGCCAAAGAAGCGACAAGGCAGAAGAGTCAAATTCATCGTCAGCAATGGTTCAAAAATAAGGTCGACAGCAAGAAAAAGGGAACCGGTGGAGCTAAAAAGAAGGGAGCTAACAAGAGAAAGTAACTTTCGAGCCAGTAATCTCATTTGTCTTTGTTTTCTTTGATTTTGTTGATTTTTTGTTTTATGATTATTCGTTACGTTCACTTTTTGACTCCATTTTAATCAATAAAGACTTTGTTATGAGATTATCTTTTGACCGCGTTTAGTTTTTCTCGATCTCGAAATTAAATTATCTTTTCATTGAAGTCAATATCTTGATTTGTGCCAAAAAGGCCGCATTCTTTCGGATTATTTCGGGCGCCCCACAAACGCGCTCCACCGCACTCCCTTCAAAAATTTTTTGTCATCCTTTCGCCAAAACTCATCATTTTGGACGATTTCCAATTTAAAAACCCCATGAAAATGGCTGTTTCCAGTGGAAAATATGTCACTGAACTTCCTTTCCTATGATGATGACTTCTGTGGATACTGTGGAGCGATTCTGGAGCTTCCTCCCCAAGCACCGTCAACGGTGACCTGTAAAGTTTGCTCCACTCGGTGGAATGTCAAAGGTATTTTTCAAAAATTGTGATTTATTATAATCCAAACGAATTTCAGAAAGAGTCGATCAAGTAGTGAGCCGCGTTGAGAAGATTTATGAGAGAACAGTGGCCGACACAGATGGAATTGAGAACGACGAGTCTGCTGATGCAGTGGTGGATCACATTTGCACGAAGTGAGTATTCCCCCTTTTGTTGATAGTGAACTTCTCAAAAACCTGAAAATCTTTCAGATGCGGACACACGAAAGCATCCTACTCCACCATGCAGACCAGATCGGCTGATGAAGGACAAACGGTGTTCTATACGTGTCTGAAGTGCAAGAAGAAGGATATTGAATATTCATGATTCTGTTATTCGTTATTGTCATTTTTTTGTTAGTTCGTTTTTGTATTTTTTTTGTTAGAAATTGAAAATTGAAAAAAAACACAAAGAAATTTTCTGATTTTGTTCTATACTGGTCCTTTCACCAGATTATTATCTCTGCTCCTGATTCTTCCTAACTAACAAAAACCTTATAATGGAAAAAATTCAGATGTCCCGTGGAAGCAGCGCCGGATTCGATCGTCACATCACCATCTTCTCCCCGGAAGGACGTGTCTATCAGGTATACTCGTGCCTTCAAATAACAATAACAGTGAGCTAGATTCCAGGTCGAGTATGCTTTCAAAGCAATCAACTCCACTAATCTCACCGCTGTTGCTGTCAAGGGCGTTGACACCGCCGTCATTGCCATCCAGAAGCGTGTCCCAGACAGTCTCATTGTCGCCGACACTGTCACTTCGGTTTACCAAATCTCTCAATCTGTCGGATGCTGTGCCATCGGAATGATTCCAGACGCCAAGTTCCAGGTCAAGCGTGCGCAAGGAGAAGCCGCCAGCTGGAAGTACAAAAATGGTTATGATATGCCATGCGAGCTTCTCGCCAAGAAGATGGCCGATCTAAACCAGTACTACACCCAAAACGCCGAGATGCGTAGTTTGGGATGCGGTGAGTATAATCTATAGAGAATTCTGAGAATATCCATATTCCAGCTCTTCTGTTCATCTCCTATGACGACGAGAAGGGCCCAGAAGTTTATCGTGTTGACCCAGCTGGCTATTACCGTGGAATGAAAGGAGTGTCAGTGGGAGTCAAACAAGTTCCAGCCACCTCGTTCCTCGAGAAGAAAATCAAGAAGAAGCCAGAGATGAATTCCACGGAGACCATTGAGCTTGCGATCGAGGCTCTTCAGAACTCCCTTGGTATAGATGTCCGATCCAAAGATCTCGAAGTCGTTGTCGTCACCAAGGATAACACAAAATTCACAAAATTGACCAACGATCAAGTGGAGCACCATCTCAACCAGATCGCCAACAGAGACTAATAAAATGAAAATAAATCCGTGTATTATTCTCTCTGCATTGAGTCCGGTTCTCCGTTTCAAACTCCCTGTTCCTAATTTATTTATTGTCTCCTTTACTTTCGTCTCTCTGTCCGTTTTTTATCTCTCCGCCTCCCCCTTTATTTATCAGTAAAATAAAGATAAACAAAACCTTTTGACACTCGTCACACTGGTGATTCACTGGTGGGGTTGCGACATAGATTCAAGGTTTCAAAAACCAGTTTACAATTTATTTCTCTCTTTTAAAAATCACTTGTGTTCTTTTCCTTCCTTACTTTTTAGTAGTTAAAGAGTAGTTTCTTTATTGTCAATTGAGAAAAATCGCTCAAATATCCAAGCTCCGCCCCTCTGCAAAAGCGCCGCGCAGTTTTTCTCTTGTTTTTCATGATACCATTTTTCGGGGTTTTCTTCCTGAATTTTTTTCAAATTGGATTCAAAAAAAAGTTTTTATAGGGAAAAATGCCTTTTTCGAATACAAAACTTGATAAAATATCTGGAAACCTTGAAAAATAGGAAAACTATGAAAAACACAGAAAAAACAGTGTGACGCTTTTGCCGAACGTCGGGTAATTATTTGAAATCAGCGCAATTTTTTCTTACAAAAACTTCCTTATAAAGGCATATTTTTGATTTTCAGTTATCTAGAAAAACAAACGACATCTATAACCATGATGGACGTAGAGGTGGAGGAATCCAGCTGGTTCCTTCCCACAGTTCTCATCGCAGCTGTGAGCTTCATTGCTCTGTATTTCACAAGACGCTTCTTCAAAGGAGGTCAGTTCACTGAGCGAGTTTCGGCGAAAGGATTGGTCGCTGTGGTGACTGGAGCAAATTGTGGAATCGGTTATGAAACAGTTAGAGAGCTCAATTTGAAGAAAGCTGATGTAAGCTTCTTTTCTCTTTACCAAATTGAAAATTCTCATTTTCTAGATTTACATGTTGTGTCGCAGTGAAGAGAAGGCCAATGACGCTAAACGAGCTCTCGTTAGACAGGGATGCGATGCCACTCGTCTCCATTTCATTGAATGCGATTTGACTGACTTCGAATCAGTCCGTCGTGCGGCTAAGGAGACTCTTAAGTTGACAGATACAATTGATATTCTTGTGAACAACGCGGGGATCATGTTCCAAAGTAAGCATGAGTTAACAAAGGACGGACATGAGAAGACGTGGCAAAGCAATTATCTCGGACCATTCTTGCTCACTGAGCTCTTGCTCCCGGCAGTCAAAAAGTCTCAGTACGCGAGAATCGTCAATGTTTCGTCTTTGATGCACATGCGGTCCGGAAAAATAAATATTGCTACTGTCGATGATAAGAAGTCGTTTGGAATGATGAAGTCGTATAGCCAGAGCAAGTTGGCCAATGTAATGCATGCCAGAGCGCTGACGAAAGAGTTGAGAAAGGATGGAGCTGAACACGTAACTGCCAACTCTGTACACCCAGGAGGTGTGGATACTGAGCTCACTAGAACGACCATCCTTGCATGGCCAGTCATCAAACAAATTAGTGCTCCATTCAGGTAAAAATAACTTCTCAATTTCTAACGAAAATCTTTTTTTTCTAGATGGTTCTTCCTGAAAACAAGCCGCGATGGAGCTCAAACTTCTCTCTACGTGGCGCTTGGTAAGAAACTCGGTGGAATCAGTGGGAAGTATTTTGCCGATTGCAAGCTCACCAAGGAGAATCCCTTGGCTCTCGATGACCAAGCCTGCCAGGATTTGTACAATTACAGTCTCGAAGCAACTGGACTCGCTAAATAATTCTGCTTTGAATTTTCTCTTTTCCGAACTTTAATTTTATCGCTTTAGTACCTGATCCCTTTTTCAAAACGAAGTAATAATCGAGTGAATAATAAATGTTCTTGGTTCTCTTGAATGAGTCTGTTCATTTATTTTGTATATTCAGCAGCCGACATAAAACAAAATTCGACTGAAAAACGTTTGGGGATTTTTGGTGGAATTTTTGTCTCTTTTTCGCAGAATCCCATAGGAACGGTGTTTGAGGCTTCGCAAATTCCAAGGAAAACAATTTCCTGGAAAGTGAGCTGAGCCTAAATTGCAAGTCTGACACGGTTTTTCAATGACAGTATGCAAATGGGAAAACCATGCGACAAAAACGTGCGCAACTCGCAATTTACGCTCCGCCCACTTTTCCAGTTGAAACTTTTTCTTCCGAATTTGTGCCGCCTCGTTTTTTTTCCAACACAACGTTGGGTCTCGCACGGAAAACGCGGACTACAGTAACCGGTGATATTTACGAATCGCGGCCTCGTTTTTTTTCTCCCCATTTTCTGCACTTCTCCAGGTTGTTGTCGGCTCAAAAACTAAATTTTAGAGCCAAAATACGATGAGAAGCCAGTATCGGCGAACTGTAAATCGTAAAAATGAGGAAGCATTCTCCGACTCACCACCATCGCGACATCCACCTGCGCCAAGTCTGAAACCAGTGGAAATCGATGTTATTCGGGTTTGTATACATTTCTTCCGGTTTTTTAGAGTTTTATTGCGTTTCAGAATGTAATTGATAGTCGACACAACACCGAGAAGCAGTTATTGGATCTCTCAAACTTCTCGAAAAACGTCGAATTCTTTGAAAACGATATGTTGATGTGTTTGACGAAACCGCGAGTGATGACGACGGTTCTTCAATGGATTGGAGCGAAATATCCGAAAATTTCTGGAATCTCGTTTTCGGTATCGAAAGCTAAATACACTGAAACTAACTATTTTTGTTTTCAGAACAATCGCTTGTGCCATTTGGAACATCTTTCGGCACTCGGAAAAACTACCAAATCGCTCAAGTTTCTCGATTTGAGTCATAACCAGATTTCTACTGAAGATGAACTCGAAAAGCTTGGAAAGGTGTCAGTGGAGAGATTGGTTTTTGAAGGGAACCCAGTTTGCGAGCGTTTCACTCAAATGTCGCAGTATGTCAATTTTATTCAGAAGGCGTTCCCGAAGTGTTCTAATTTGGTTGGTTTTTGTTTCCTAGCTGAGCTAGGGCATAGTGGAAGTAAAATCATCTGTCGTTTCAGGATGGAATTGATGTTAAACCGAAGGAACAACGCTTCGACTTGGACAAGTTTTTGCCGTTTAGAGTGAGAATAGAGCACTTCGCTCGAATTTCTATGAAATACAATTTCAGAACGGATACTATGGCAATGAAGAGATACGCAATCTTGTCGAAGAGTTCATCATTGCATACTACGAAATCTACGATGGTGCCGATGGACAACAAACCAGAAAGACGCTTCTGAACGCGTACGATGCCACAAATGTATGCTTTTTGAGATTTTGCATCGCAAGATTAGTTAATTTCTAGTCGACATTCACAATTACAATCACCTGCCTTTGGGATCCGTACAAGTACACGATGTATCCAGACAGGTATGCATTCCTAGAGAGTTAACCCCAATATTATTGTTGTCCGAAAAATTGGTGTTGAGAAGCAGACAGTTAATCGAAATATTTCTCTGCGTCTCCACCGAATATGCGCTATTTAGGATTGTCGCTTCGAGGTGCCTACCGTATTCAGACTGCAAAAAATACTCTCGCTCCAATTTTTTCGCACAACAATAATAGCAACATTTTTCAGTGAATGCTATCGTATGTACTTGCGAAACTCGCACAATGTTCTCAACCAGGAGTTCTTCGCTGCGAACCGCGCGTCACGAATATCTCACGGCGCCATGGACATCGTTGTGGCACTCTCAAGACTACCAGCCACTGTTCATCTGATGGACACTTTTGTTGTCGACGTCTTTCTCGTCTCAGCAGAACTTCTCGGATTCACTCTTCATGGAACGTTCCGTGATGGAAACATGGTCGCTGAAGACATCAACTCAGCGGAAAACTATTTCACGAGAACATTCATCGTAGCACCGAAAGGAGAAGGAAAAGTGGCTGTCATTTCAGACCAATTGTTCATCAGTTCAATGTCGAAGAGGCGCAATGATAAGTATCGCATGCTCGTCGAGAACGCTACAGATTTCGATGTCTAATGGAGTTATCATTTTTATTGTATCTGTTATCTAATTGTTAATTTTTCAACTGTTTTTGTTACTGTAGTTGGCCGGTCGATGACCTAATCTTGCATTTTGTGAACCGTGTGAAATTTTTGAAAATTTATTAACTTCACAACCTATTTATACGGTAGAATATCTAGACGATCCCTGTAGCTATCAATTTTAAGATTGATATGGTCAAACGTGGCGGCTCCGAACCAGGCAGTAGCGAAGCCTACTGTAGCACTGAGAATGTAGACTGCGATGATTCGTTTTCTAAAATCAATACTTTATTCTAATATCTTCATTATTTCATAACTCACCCCATAGGCTTCTTATATATTGGGAAGGTCGGAATTCGGGCCCACGAGAATTCCAGTGCTGTTCCAGTATCCGGCAACATTTTCCTACGATCGAAACGTGTAGGAATCGGAGCAATGTCGTTGAGACGAGAGTTTGGTGTGTACTTCTGCATCTGGAGTATGAAGTGAAGAAGCCGGAGAAGGACGACGACGGATGTTTGGAAAATTGGCAGTTGTATAGGAGAGTGGAAAGTTGTGCAAGGAGTGGTGAGCAAACAAAAAATTAGGGAGTACAAGGAGAAGATCGCCTGTGTTTTTGTTTTCAAAATGATTGCTGCTTCTGCTGCTGAACTGTATTATTTTTCATAAAATGTTATTTTAGGCCGGATTACTGTAGACCAGTACAGTTACTCGAAAACTGCTGTAAATCAATAATCAAGTTTGTGAAGTGTACACTGGCAACTATTCCTCCGACCCGTTTTATTATCAGTTTCCCTCCTAGAATCCACGTCATTTTCTCAAAACAACCCCATGTTTGTCTAATTCTGTTGTGGTGCATGTATCGTAAATAAACGGGCTGTCGTCAGTCTGCAAGATTGCGTGATGGTGTTTGCACACAATTTGATTCGGAAAAATTCGGAAAATCACGAGACACTGTTGCGATATAACATGTCGTTCCTCATTGATTTTCTGAATGGCATAGTTTATAAATTAGTGTTTTCTGGCACATCTATGCCTTTCTTGCATATTATTTTTCAGTTTCGCAACACCCCATGACGGGTGACGTCACTCCTTTATTCCTCATATTTTACTCTTATCGGAAGATTTTTACTGTCTCTCCCAATCGTATTTTTTTCTATTTCTCTTCTTTTCAACTCGCTTTTTTGTCTTCCACCTCCTTCCTGTATAACTTATCTTTCAGAAATGAGTCGAAGAGGTTTCGGAAATCCCCGTTCCGGTGGTGGAGGCCATCGCGACGCCAAACAGCTATCTCGCAACAAAAGTCGCTTCGCACGCCTCGATCCAGACATTCAGAGCAGATACGACGATCTTGATGACGAACCGGCAGTACCAGGTAACCAAAATTTATTTTTCCGGCTCGCATTTTAACACCATTGTGTTTGTCGAACTTGTATTACCCTAAAAACATCAAAATCGCGAGCTAATTTGTCAAAATTAAACGATTTGAAAAATTTTCGCGACCTCAAAAAACCAAAAATTTACATAAATTCCTCATGTATGTTCTAACCCTTTTTTGAGTAAAAATTTTCAGTCCGTGCCAGTCTGACTACAACAAGCACTCGCGGACGTGGTGGCTCTTCAGGAAACAATCCATTCTCTCGTTCAACTCAATCCGTCGCCAATACCGGTGTTCGTAACGCTGACATTGTTTTCAAATGTCGTGCGGTCGGAGCTGCCAAAAAAATCGATGGGAAATGGCTCATCAAACAACTCAATCAGAAAGTCGAAAACTTCAAACCTCTTCTTTGGGACGAGAACACTCGTGGTGACTTCGAGTGGTATGTCCGTGACGAGGATATCGCTTCGGCAATCAAGGCGAACAGTCGTCGTATCCTTCACAAAGAGACTGGAACTAAAGTTGAACTGCTTTACGCAAGAGTACCAGCTCCATGGATGGCTTTAAAACGAACGGAAGTTGAAATTATCCACGTATGTTTGAGGATTCTGAGAATCAGCACAATAATTGTTTTTAGAAAGTCGTCGACAAACGCTACAACGCCGAGGCTCGCCTACTCAATCTATCCGAATTCCATGCCGACGAAGAGTTCACATCCAAAGATATGCTCATGAATCTTACCAAAGGAAACGTGATGCTCACAGTTCTCGACCACATTGATGACAAATACGGAAACATTGTTTCACTCTCCCTTGCAGTATGTCAATCATTGTCTTTTGCAGTCTAAGCTCATTTGTTTCAGAATAACCGCCTCCGCCACTTGGACTACGCTTCCGCCCTGGTTTCTATTGCCAAATTCGTCAAAGAATTGGATTTAAGTCACAATCATGTAAGAATTGCAAAAACAGTATGTAATCAAAAGAACGTTTTCCAGATAACCGCCGAGAAAGACCTCGAGAAGTTCGCAGGTTTGCCCGTTGAGAAGCTGTTCTTCGAAGGAAATCCAGTCGTCGAGACTTTCACACAAAAGTCTGCATATATCAGGTTACCTAGTCTAAATTTTTTGCAGAATCTGCAGCCTGTCTTCTACCTGTTTGATTTTATTAGTAGTTTTCGGTTTCTCAATGTTCCCATGTCTATTTTCTCATCCCTTGTCCTTTGTTCTTTTATTTCAATAATACCTGTTCAGCTATATTCACAAGACATTCCCGAGATGCTACCTCATGGTGAGTTTTGACCTCTTCCAACGGGGTTTAATAAAATTTAACTTCTCAGGATGGTGTCGAAGTGGAGCCGTTGGTCACTGGACCTGAAGTCAATATCAATGAAGTTATGCCATTCAGAGTGAGAATTTTCGAATAAGGTTGAGACAGGAATCAATAATTTTTTGAAATCTTTCAGGCCGGATACTACCCGAACGCTCAAATCCGAGTTCTTGTCGAGCAATTCGTCATGTCTTTCTTCGAGCTTTACGACGGAAAAGATGGACAAAGAACACGCAGAAGTCTCCACAATGCATATGATTCCGATGCATCTATATTCACATTGACCGTCAAAAACTTAAGCGGATCGAATTTCCAGAGACATCACAATGAGTAAGAATAAAGATAAACCTATTCTTCTAACTATTCATTTTCAGCGACTGCTACCGTCAATACGCCCAATTATCACACAACGTGCTGGAGCAAGAGCACTTTTCTCGCAATCGGGCTGCTCGACAAGCTCGCGGAGCCATGGATATCGCAGTGGCTCTGTCGAAATTGCCAACAACTCATCATATGAAAGAGACCTTCATCGTTGACGTCTACATGCTCACCAATGAGCTGCTAGGATTCACAGTTCAAGGACTTTTCCTGGACGGAGACCTTACCCAAGAACCATCTCCAAATTACTTCAGCAGGTCTTTCCTTGTCTCACCGAGAGAGAATGAGTGAGTTTTGAACCAAAGGTGGAATTATTCAAAGAAATTTATCTTGCAGCTCTGTCGCCGTTCTCTCAGATCAGCTCTTCATCTCCACCGCATCAGTAGAGCGATTGGAGAAGTTCAAGAAGCTCTACGATCAATCGATTGTCAACGGAGCCGCCGTAGAGCAGATCAGTGCTGTCCAAATCGCGCAAATCGGTGTTAATGGAATCGGATTCGATGGTGCTCCTCCACCAGAGACCCGGAAAGCAATGACGGAGGCCATGTGTCAGTTCAGTGGAATGATCGCTCCGTACAGCGAGAAATGCCTGGCTGACTGCAACTGGAACTTTGATTTCGCATGTGCAAAGTTCACAGAGATCAAGGCATCAATCCCAATAGAGGCGTTTGCCCAGTAAAAACTCATCCCAGTATTCTTATTCTCATATCTTCACACAAACTGTCTTTTTATCAATTTTATTATGACTTTTTCCTGTTTTTTGTTTATGTCTTCTTCTTTTTTTTTCCATACCATTTTCCCCTAATCACTAGCCCCTCCATCAAGTTTCCCACTGATTTGCTCCGCGGCGGAGCCTCCGCCTATCCCTATTTCAGCATTTATCTTCCTTCTCTAACACTATCCAAAGATTCTCTACCAGATCCCAATTCTCTGTTCATTCGATCTGTCGGTTTTCACCAGTCATTTAGCGTAGATCCTAGACTTCAAAAGACTCTTCCACCATCGCTCCCACCAAGTCGTTTTTGTCAATGTGCTCTAACATCTCCTTCAACACCACTTCCCTCCATTATCATGATGCTGTCGAAGTGTGTGGATGTCCTGCAGTAGCACATTGACGCCATCTGGAGTGATGATGGTAGTCAAAAGAAGTCGGTTAGAGAGATTTGTAGTTCGTATGGTGATAATTGACTGGTTTTATGTTCAGAACTTTTCTATCAGTAGAGCGTATTTTTGGATTGTTCAGAAGGATTCTAAAAATCGAAAACCCTAAAAAAATCAATACGACAAATCATTGGGAAGCTTGAGTTCATACTTTTAAAAATCACCCATAATTTCATCAGGTCCCCCCACACACCCTTTCTTTATTGTATTTGAAAAATACTTGGCATATTTCAATTTGTGTCCCAATAGCTCCCCTCCGATTTTCCTCATTCCATTCATTTTGGTGTATTTTTCATTATTATATCATTATTTGTCCCTCTCTTTTTCATTATTATTATCATTATCCTTCTCGACCAACACATTTTCTATTTCATTTTTTGTCCGATTTCTTTCTTTTTCTTCTCTCAAATAAAATTAAAAAATTTAGTTCAACCATTTTTTATTGCTTAAAGTTTAGGTATACCGTAAAACCTGTATTAAAAGGGCCCCTCTAATAGAAGGGCCCTTCGTGAGAGGCTCGGAAAAATAGAAGGGGCCTCTGTAATAGAAGGACCCCCGTAATAGAAGGGCCCCATGTGAAAAAGGACCCCCTCCAAAATGTGTTTAGAAATCAGAAAATTTCCGTACTTTTCCAGTGGAAAATATTCCGGGAACTCCACAATTTAATAGAAATTTGTTGAAACTCTATTTTTCGATGAAAATCTTGCTATATTTTGTGGAAATTGGCAGATTTTCATGAATTTTGAACGAAACTTCGTCGAATTTTTCGATGCTAAATTCTGGAAAAACTGCCCGGTAAAATAGAAGGGCCCCCTCTAATTGAAGGGCACCTGTAATAGAAGGGCCCCTGTAATAGAAGGGCCCTCCGGAGGTACCTTGGAACAATAGAAGGGCCGGCCCTTCTAATACAGGTTTTACGTTATACTAAGAATTTACAGCCAACTCAATGAAAAAAAAAACCAGAAAAGTTAGAAATTGAAACTATTCACTGAAATTACTGTTTTTGGCAATGTTGATTTGTGTTCCAGGCTCTTAAAGTCATGGAATACGTCGACCTTAGCCTCGCCCACTTTGCACGCAAAGTATAGTGAACGGCGGAACCCGGGAGATGTCGGTACATCCAGAACACCTCCTATACAAATGAAATCGTTTGCGTGGTCTTTCGGCGTGCATCACACAATATCTTCTGAGTCGGCTGACAACGGAACGACAACACCTCGTCAGTTTGGATTTTGATGAAAATTTCAGAATATGTCAAGGATATCCTATCTAGACATCTCTGAAAATTTTAGAACACGCTCCCCACTTTCAACCGAGTTATATCAGTTCAAAGTTTTAGTACTGAAATCCGTTGATTTGCATGATTTACTACACATTTCATCCCCGAAATCCCTTTAAAAGGAGTTTGATGAAGGCCTGACATTTAAGCGCCTTTCGAATGAATAGTATATGTCGACGGCGTGGTGTCGGGGATGTGGTGGGCGCCAGTAGTCACAAGGCTGTGGGTTCGGACCCTCTAATGTCCGTTTTCCGTCCGTTTTCCGTCCTTTTCGTCACGTCATTAAGTTTTTCAGGTTCGTCTGTGAGGTTCGTCCGTCAGGTTCGTCCGTCTGGTCCGTCCGTCAGGTTCGACCGTCAGGTTCGACCGCCAAGTTCGACCGTCAGGGTCGACCGTCTGTTTTTTTCGTCAGGTTTTTTGTCAGGTTCGACCGCGTAGCGTCGCGTCGCCAAACGGTCGAACCTGACGGTCGAACCAGACGGACGGACCAGACGGACGAACCTGACGGCCCAACCTGACGGACGAACCTCACGAACGAACCTCGGAAGAACCTTATAAACGAAACAAACCTGACGAAACTAACCTGACGAAACGGACGAAAAACGGGCGAAAGGCTGATGAAAAGCTATTAAAAATTCAATTTAATTTTTCCACCGTTTATTGTAAAGTTCAGGTGTATACAAAGAAAGTTAGACCCGTTTCTTCCTAATTCTGTAGATGATTCTCTAGTTTTGAAGAAGTTTGCAAATCTTTTTTGGTTTCGGCGCAGCCAACCGTTCTCGACACTTGAACAAGAAACGAATTCCTTGGCATCTGGAAACAATCGATAAATTAAAGGAGCATAGATGGTCTTGAAGCGAAAACAGCGAAAATTGTTTGAACAAATGCATGCACCTTTGATACCGTATCTCGAAATTAATTAATTTTTCGCTCGTTTTCGGTTATTGCTTCTATTAGAGGTAGTACGGTAATACGGTAATACTGTAAAGTGAAAGTGAAAAAGTACAAACCTGCCATAAATGAACGGATTGATGACACTGTTGAGCACAACCAACGAGTTGAGAATATAATTTGAATCCAAGTTCTCTTTATACGAATCGAAATGAAGAACCATCCACCAGGACAAAAGATTATACGGTAGCCAAGTGACTGCGTAGGTTAGAATTAGAAGAAGTGTGATTCGAAGGCTTCGAACTTTGGCACGACGAAATTTCTCTTGTCCGCGGACAGTGCGAGTGGTTAGAGTTACTGAAATAACACCATTTTTTCTTTTTGGTTTCTCAAAGCTCACCAAAACTCTCTTGCTCCTTTTTATGCGCTGTCGCCTTTCCGCCAGTCTTCGAAGAGCTCATTTCCGATAGATAGGCGGCTGATGAGCATTCTGTATCAGTATTGAGTGTCTTGTAAATGTCCTTCAAAATCAAGACGTAACAAGCGACCAGAATCATCAGGGGGACGTAGAAAATGATGATTGCATTCTGAATCGAATACAACTTCATGTTTCGAAGCTCACTCTCGCTGAGCGCATGTTCTTTGTTGATGATTTCAGTCCATACTGTGACACATTGAGTGATGTGATTGAATTGGACCTGGAAGCTTGTATTTGTAATGGGAGCAAAGTTTCAAAATCAAGTTTACTTCATTCCAAACAAACATCTGGGGGAGCATAGTGACCACTGCCAGCGACCATGCCAATACGAGCATTCTGGGGACTCGCGAGTGGCCAACAGCGTTGACCCAGAGTGGATAACGAAGGGCTGATAGGCGGTAGAGAGCAATGCAAACCATGATGTTGGAGCTGAAATTAGCTTAATACTTGAGCGTTATTCTTACTAATAGGAAAAAAGGGAATTTTAATTTGTTTCAGGTGAACAGGAAGTCTGAAAACATACCTTAATCACTAGGACGCCCCATCCTCTAACCTTTATCTTTGAGCCAATTTATCTCGGTTTCTGTTAGAGATATCAAAAAGCGGTCAACTGATAAGATGTTTTTGAAAAAAATATATATGGTAAATATTTTATCAGTTGACAAATTTTTGATATCGTCTAAAGGGACCGAGATAATTTAGCTCAAAGTTGACGGTTTGTGTGGGTTAGGTTAGAGTGTTTACGGTATTAGCTTTCGTTCAAAACGTCCAAAAATTTTCCAGCTGAACCAATCAAAATAAAGTTATTGTCTTGCAGTTTGTAACTTTTTTGTGGAAAAAGCACCCAAGTGAGATATGAATCTTGAAAGTGGCTTTCCAAGAGATATCCCGTATGATGAAGTGCCACCCAAATCGTCAACTTTAAGCACAATTATCACGGTTGCTGTGAGCGACATCAAAAATGTGTCAACTGATAAATTATATATCATAATGTCACCAATATTTTATCTGTGGACTACTCTTTGATATCTCTCATAGGAACCGAGATAATTGATCTCAAAATGATTGAACACCGCCTGGTCGCCTCCTTGGGGATCCGGGCGGACCGTTGACGGCTTACCGACGGACATTTCGGTCACTTTGAATGGAGTCACAATTTTTGAACTATACTCGGCTTGACATGAATCTGTTAACTGCGATGGAGAATTCGTATTAAACTTACTAAAGCTAATTGCCTCTACTATGCAATTTTGGTTCTTAAATTCTCCGACCGTCCAAGGACCTTATACCTTTCTAAATCAGTTTTTCATCTCAATAACTAACTCCTATATAATTTCCCATTCATTTCAGATGATGTTACATACCTGATCGCAAAAACGAAGGCGTCAACGAATCTCATAAATTTGCATAGATATTCGCCTCCACGCCATTCCAAAGTCACCAGCCAACCGATTAGACCGGGCACGTAGAGGCCAAGAACCTGGAAATACACATTTCAGAAGATGTCAATTTCAGAATAAAACTCACCAAAATATCCGAAATATTGAGATTAATATGAAGAAGAAGGAGGAAAGATTTCGCATGTCGGTATCGTTTGAGCATGTAGATCAAAGTTGAAATATTAACAGGGAGACCGATGAGGACGAAAATTCCATAAATGAGCATTTGAGCATAATCAGAGGTGATATAACCAAGTGGCTCTTGAGCAATCACATCTTCTTCTGATGGTGTTGGTGGAGTCGAGTTGAGAATTAGCGACGACATTCTGGAATGGAACATAGCTACTGAGGCCTTGATCATAAATGAATACGGAGAAAGAGGGAACGAGGAAGAAGAATATAACGATAATTAGAGTAACCCGGAGATGAAAAAAAACAGAAGATTCAAATTGCAGAAAAAATAAGGATCGGGTGGCACTAGCTGATTAATTTTTGCAATTTGGTCTGACCCTTGAATCTAATTAGTCGTCTCTAAATTGGGTTACCAGGTCATGAGCTCAACTTTCAAGAAAACAATTTTTAGCCGAAAAGCCATAAACTCGAAAATGAGCTGTTTGTAGACTCCGTTTCTATATATTGTGGACTAACTTTCTCAACATAATTTATCTAGGTGACCAGAAATGGCCTCACATGCACCTGATGTGTTTTCTAGACTTTTTACCATAGCGGCCTAACTTTCGCAAGTTGAGTTTTCTAGGTCACCAACTTTTATGACCTGAGGATCACCTGATATGATGATGACCTAGTTTTTGCAAGTTGAGATTTCTTACTATATGCTTCGAATGGAATCTCACTTTTCAATTCAGAAAATTTTTGCGCAGATCAAAAAGAGATGGAGTAAGACTGAAAACCAAACAAAAGTGACATGAACTTTTCTTCCTATCCTTCATGTCTTGAAATGGAAATGAATGATGCTCCGGGGCGTTTTTGAATTGAGAATCCATGAAGCGTAGAAGAGGGACTGAGTTTCCGCTTCTTCTTCTCTATCTTTTCAGACTTTCCTTGTGTATTGGAAGATGATGAATCAGGATTGCAAGGAGAAAAAAGAATAAATAATACAAGGTAGTAATAAATGGAAATCATTATAGCCTCTTTAGAAATAAACGAACGGAAATGAACATTTGATATAATACGACTTCTGGATTAATCCTGATGCTTTACGAGCGCGGGGGATCAGAGGATTATAAGCTGAAAACTAGACAACCGGATTTGTGTACTTTAATAATGATAATGAATCAGAAATCCTGTTGAAATGAATTTAGAGTTTTTAAGAGTATGATTTTAACATTATGCTTTGTGCCACTTCTTTAGGATTTGTTCAATGAACTTTAGAGGAGGGACTTCGACCAAACGGTTAATTTCGAAAAAAAAACGATCTAACCGCTAAACTAGACTTGTTGTGTTCTAGACCATTTTTGCATATTGGCCTAACTTTTGCAGGTTGAGTTTTCTAGGCCACCATGGTACATAGTAATGACCTGATATTGACCTAGTGTGTGTTTCCAGGCAATGACGACCTAGAAAACGCGAGAGTTCGGCCATCAAGATAAATGACCTAGAAAATACTCCAGGTGAATATCAGGTCATTTATAGGGCACTCTTCTAGAATCACGGAACGAAAAAAAAAATCACGGAACAAAAAATCACGGAACGAAAAATAAAATCACGGAACAAACAATCACGTAACGAAAATATCACGGAACGAAAAATAAAATCACGGAACGAAAATTTTGGATAATCCAAAAATTGCAAGGACCTTCATTCAAGTACTATCCTGAAATTTAACCTTGACATTACATTTTTTGCTCAGTATCCAAAATGACACCCGAAATGTGGTATTGAGTCCTTAAGGTACACTAGTTGATAGTGTACATGATTAATAGGTTACATAGGACCTTTCCCAGATGTTCTGAGGATCATGGGACATATGAGAGTTAGGTTAGTGGCTGCAGCGAGCAGAGTTATCAAACTTCCCGTCGTTTTTTGGGTGTCCAACATGAAGGAAACATGATGGTTCAGCCTAAGCCTATAATTGAAGAAATCTTATTTTTCATTTTTCAAAAATTGGATGATATTTTTGGATTGAAGAAGCTTTTTTCAATCAAAGGCTTAGGCTGAAACGCCATGCTTCTTTTATCTGGAACACCCTAAAATGTCAGCAAGCTCAATAACTGCTTGATGTTGCTTTAAACTGAATTTTCAGATGTTCTACAGGTCCTATGTAACCTGTTAACTAGCGTATCTTAAGAAATCGATAAACCCTTTTTTAGTATACTTTTGGGTATTGGACAAAGTAAAATTGATGCCAAAGTTAGTATTACGGATACTACTTGTCAAAGTAAAGAAGATAGCAATTTTTGGATTACCCAAAATTTTCGTTCCGCGATTTTATTTTTCGTTCCGTGATTTTTTTTTTCGTTCCGTGGTTCTAGAAGAGTGCCATTTATAGGGCATTTATCATGATGTCCTAGAAAACTCAACTTGCAAAAGTTAGGCCACCATGCTAAATGGTCTAGAAAACGAACGAGGTGAATTTCAGGCCAAGTCAAGGGCAGCTATAATATGTAGTGGCCTAAAAAAATCATGTTGAGAAAGTTAGGCCACAATGTTAAACTGACCTAGAAAACATCAGGTGAATATCAACCATCTTCTAGGGTATCTACCACGGGGGCCTAAAAACTCAACTTGCAGAAGTTATGCTAAATGACCTAGAAAATACACATTTATGGACTATTAACTACAGTGGCATAGAAAAATCATGTTGAGAAACTTAGGCCACCATGTTAAAATGACCCAGAAAACACGTAAGCTTTGGACCATTGCTGACCACGAATTTCTGAAAATCCAAACTTTTTCATAAACACATTTTTTCAGACTTTTCCTCCTTTAGAATCTGTACGATGAACGTTAAGCGAGCTTCTTCGTTCTCTGGGTGTGCAAATAATTTAAAAAACGTGAAAAAAAAAATCTCCATGATCCATCAGATGCGGAACTTCTTTGAAAACATGGAACCTTTTCGTTTTTTTTTTCTGGAGAAGTACAAATGCTGTTTTTTGCATGTTTGTTTTTCCTTCTTTTTCCTAATGAAAAAAACGAGTCTCCCTTTCTGATGTCTACTGTCTGTAATTAGAAGATGGGAAAAGTCTAGAAGAAGAGAAAAGGGAAGAAATTATCTCTCGTTTCGAATAAAAAGGAACAAAGTTTACGAGTACTTGGCCATCTATTTATACGTCAAAAAGTGGGCGGCTTTCGGGTCCAACAAAAATTATATGTCAAACTATTGCACGTACTGGGGGTAATTTATGATCGCGTGTGGGTCACTTTTCCAGGTACCATTTGATTTATTGGGAAGTGGAAAACTGACAAAATGTGATAGATTAGGTTTATGAAAACGTTGGGTGGAGATCAGAAGAATGAAATATGAGGAAATTGGGGAAAAAAGGCGGAAAGTTTTTAGCGAACCGCTACTTTTGTCTCAATTACCGCGAACACTCTTAGCCTGAGCTTCTAACTTTCAACTTTGAGCCAATGTATCTCGGTTCCTGGCAAAGATATAAGAAAGCTGTCAACAAACAAAATATTTTTAATGCTATGGTAGACAATTTATCAGTTGACAACCTTTTCATATCTTTAACAGGAATCAAAATAAACTGACATAAAACTGATAATTAAAAGCTCTTCTATCACAGGCTTTAGGTTATATACATTTGCGAGGTTTTGGCTCAAAGGCACGGTCTGTTTTTCTGGAGGAGTTTTTTTTAAAGTTGACCAAAAAGTGGACAAAATCTAGAAACGCTTCTAGAAATACCCAGAATCCAAGATGACTTTTTTTCGCATAAAATTCAAACTCTAAGAAGTTTTTAGTCACTTTTTCAAGTATCTCAGAATGGTTTTTGAATCCGGTTACAATCCAAAAAAAAAAATATTTCCACAAACACGAAAGTTTTTCAAAAAGTTTCGCAGTTTTATCATAATAAGGCTGTCAAAATATATCGCCAACGTTCTAATAGAAGGTTACCTTATACTGGCACTTTGAGCTCAATTATCTCGGCTCCTGTGAAAGATATCAAAAAGTAGCCAACAGACAAAATTTTAGTGATATTACGACAAAAATTTTATCAGTTGACAAAGTGTCAGATCTGGTTTCTCTCCGAATCTTCTTTTGAAGCCGCAAAATTCCCTTTGGAATTGACTCAAACACCTGCACGCGCAAGCGCGCCCTAGCGCACAGGCAGCGGGAAATTCCCTTTTTTGCTGGATTTCTTTGGACCTTTTTTTGGCATTCCTTTTGAGTGACCGTTCACGAGCAGGTGAACGTGTCAAATTGCTTACTAGGTTCCAGTTTTTAGTCTTTAGATTCCTTTCTGAAGGTACAAGTTCATGAGCAGGTGATTGTACGAAAGTTCTAGGTTTCTCTCTTTGTGTTCTTTCCGAGTCCGGGACTCTTTTGTTTCTTTTGTTTCTTTGTGTTGCCCTGGTTTTAGAATAAACCGTTAGTTTATTCTAAATCGTGTTCGTTATTTCCGTTTCTCGTTTCTCTTTTTATACAGTTTTAGAGAGAGTTTGTGAGGCAGGCGATCCCTGACCGAGCAAGCCCTTTTTGAAATTGACTAAAATTTTGTTATCTCTCGTAGAGATTGAGATAATTAATCTCAAAGTGCCAGTATAGTGTGGGATTCTTAATAATCATGACGGACTACAAGAAATACATACCTAAAATTTCGTTAGACAAAAAAACCAAAGATCCACCCTTATCACCTGGAACATTGTAAGAAACTACTTCCAAAACAGACAAAAGGATCAGAAATCTGCAAATCGTCATATTCAGAGAATGACATTTCTGAAACAAAAACACATTTTTTGTATAATGCATTCTATGAATCTAGATAACGCTTTGGGGATTTTTCGGACAAAAATGAAAACAAGGAACATTAGAAAATGATGTTTAATAGAAGGTCACTCAACTTTGAGCTCATATATCTCGGTTCCTGTGAAATATATCAAAAAGTGGTCAACTAATGAAATGTTTTTCATAATATCAGAAATATTTTGTTAGTTGATTACTTTTTTATATCTCAGAAAATTGGTTTAGCAAAACTGAAGGTAGAACTGAAAGATTCTAATAAATAGTCCATCTAAATAGGCTTTGGATGACCCATTTGAACTTTCGAAAATCTTCGGAAAGTTCGAAAATTTAGACATTATAAAACATGTGAGAACCAAGCTACACAAATATTTCTGCACTTAAAAATTCCTCGCAACATC